GTGTGTGTGTGTGTGTGTGTGTGTGTGTGTGTGTGTGTGTGTGTGTGGTGTGTTCCAGAATGACTAAATGAAAAAATACAATTCCAAGTGTTAGAATGTGGAGCAACTGTAATGGATGGGAATATAAACGGATTCAAGTTCTTGGGAGAATGCTTTAGTGTTAACTATTACGATTACTAATAGGGAACATATCTACCCCTAGGTGTGCTCCAACTAGAAATGCCTGTGTTAGAAGCATAAAAGTGTTTAGGAAAGCATAATTCATAATCTCCCAAAGCTAGAAACAATCTAAATGTCCATTAACAGAAAAATGGGGGGCTGGTGAGATGGCTCAGTAGTTAAGAGCACTGACCGCTCTTCTGGAGGTCATGAGTTCAAATCCCAGCAACCACATGGTGGCTCACAACCACCCTCAATGAGATCGGATGCCCTCATATGGGTGTCTGAAGACAGCGATAGTGTGCTTACATATAATAAATAAATAAATATCTTTAAAAAAAAAGAAAGAAAAATGGGTAACTAAATCATGGTATATTTATGCAATAGCTTAGTGGAGAGAATGGAAATTATTCCAGTTTCCAAAATGTTACTTTTCTCTTTTCCCATTCAACTTGTCCTGTGGATTTATAAGACCCTGTCCAGAGAGAAAGGGAGGGATAGTCCTCTGTGTGTCCTCATGTGCTGGTACATTGTTTGTTGGAAGAGAAAAAGCTCCCATAAAAATTGGGGTTTTCTAGTGGGTTGGGAAGATCTATAAGCTAAATAGAAACTGGGCATGCCTGAAGAAATCCCAGCACTTGCAAGTCGAGGCAGGAGGGTTGCTGTGAGTTTGAGGTCAGTGTAGGATTTCTAGATCTTGTCTCAAAAATAAGTAAGAACTGATCAAATTCACTGGAAGCAGAAGCTCAGAGCAGGGTAATTGTGACTCTGAAGGACAATTTTAACCATAATGAACTTATCTTTTTAAATATCAACTGAAATTAATCAGGGCAGAGTCCTGTGTCTTGGAAAATACAAGTTGCTACACGGGCAGCTTAGTGGACTGTCTTTCCAAGATGTGGTGCAAAAACTATAACACATAGACTAATTGTGAGATCTCAAGGACACTAGTTTTTGGTGGAGGGTAGTGAGGCTGTTTACACATGATAGCTCATTTCACAGGAGAGCCTGGCTTCCAGGTGCATTGTTCACACATTCAGGGACTAATCTGGGCTATCTCAGAAGCAGACCCTGAGACAAAGAAGGGCATATAAGTCATATATTTGTGAAACTCAGGAAACACCAGTGGGAAGTAGAGGAAACAAGCCAAGGAAAGGAAGACAGTGAGTAAAGTGTGTTATTCTTAGGTTTTGTGTGTGTGTGTGTGTGTGTGTGTGTGTGTGTGTGTATGTGAGTGTGTGTGTGAGAGAGAGGGAGAGAGAGAGAGAGAGAGAGAATATATGCGAACACACACACACTAAAAACAAATGTAATAAAATAGAAGTTGGGTCATGCTGATTCTCAGTTCTATACTTTTCGTTGGCATCCGATTTCATTCAGAATAGCCTCAATGGTTTTTTTAACCATGGTTTGCCTCAAACCATACTGAAATTTGCTGGCTGTTACTGCTACACACGTTCCGTCTTAGGGGCTTTGCTCTCTGCTAAGACAGTCTTTCTATAGAGAGCATGTCCTGACTACTGCAGGTCTTTGTCCGAACAGCGTCACACCAGAGAACACTTTCCCAGCCGCCTTTGATGAAGCAGCCCAGTCTGCTTTACTCCTTTCCCTCTTCCCGACTGGAAGTTGCATGCTTCTGTTCTTTCAGTGGTCACTCTGAGTTACAACATGCATTGAAGACCTTTATTAGGTTGTTTACTTACTTACACACACACACACACACACACAAATCAATGAGCCTTCAAAATTTGTTTAGAGTTTCCAGGTGTCTGCCAAAATAGTCCAAATCAGGTGTTCTTCCTTCCTTTCTTTCTTTCTTTCTTTCTTTCTTTCTTTCTTTCTTTCTTTCTTTCTTTCTTTCTCCTTTCTTTCTCCTTTCTTTCTCCTTTCTTTCTCTGTGTAGCCCTGGCCATCCTGGAACTCATTCTGTAGACCAAGCTGGCCTCATTTACAGCTCAAGTTCCACTGTCTTCAACTCAATGGACAGACAGAGATGACTTTGAACCAAGATCTCAGCAATGACACAAAATTTTTTGCAGTTCATAAATTTCTCCCGTGTTGTTTCATTACTTATCTTCCTCTCACCCCAACATACACACACACACACACACACAAAGAGAACCCTCAGCCCTTTAAGGTTCTATTCATGTAAAGAGGATTTCCTATATCTGTACCAAGTTGCTCTCTTTTTCCTGCCCCTTCTCTGAGTGCAGTATGAAAGTTCTATTTTCCAGACAGCTGGGCAAAAGCTGCTTTCAACTTGAATTAACTTTCTGGATGCTGGCTTTCCATATTTTTGCTCTGGGAAATCTCTCCTCTGTCGCCATCTCTTCTGTATCTTCCAATGGGCTCAGTTTTATTTTCTCAATGCCATATGTTGACTGAACCTTTAAAGAGATAAGTTAAATTGAGGAACTGAGGAAGGCTAACTCAGTTGGACTGGCGACTTTTAAGAGGAAATTTGGTCTTAGAGCCTCTAGACGCTTCCCCTAGCTACAGGCACATAGGAAATACCCCGTGAGAATATGGGAAGAAAGGGCCTCTACCTTCCAGAACCATGGGAAAATAAATTCCCATTGTTTAAGTCACCGGTGTGAAGTGTTTTGTTAGTTTTTTTTTTGAGTGGGGGGGGCATCCTTAAGCAAACTAATACATGTCTTTAGGGACATTAAAAATACATATCCAGGAATTTTGGTTGTTTTATTTTTTTAAGTTTATTGTTTTCTAGGCCCCTGTTGTCTTTTGGAGTCTCTATTTTCTACTTATCGAATTCACCAGAATGAGATTAGGAGAGAGCAGGAACTGCGTGCTATTTAAGGCTGCATCCTGAAGCCTTAAGAAGAATGAAAGAATGACGGAGAAGCGGCTTCCCCAGGAAGACTCGCCGGGCCACCGGGTCCTGGAGACCCTCAGCAGGAGTCGCCGGCTCCGCTGGACCCCGCCCCTGGGTCTGCCCCGGCCGCTTCCGGCTTCCGGTATCTGGGTCGCAAGGCACCCGGGTGGGCGGAGCCACGGGCAGAGCGCCGACGCGGGCGGTGTGGGGTGGGCGGGTCCGGGGTGGAGGCTCCGGGACTGGGACCCGGCTAGAGGGGCGGGGTGAGACGGCCGAGCTCTGGCATCTGAGCTGCAGCCGGCGCTGCACGTCCTCGGCTGGGGCCGAAGGCCAGGCAGGACGCCCATGCACGCGGAGCTCCGCTCCTGGGTACGGCGAGTGAGAAGTGGGAGAAGCCGGTGTCTGGTCCCGAGGCCGACGGTGCGTCTCCACAGAAGCCTCGGTGCGCGCTGAGCGCCGCGGTGTGAGCGTGGAAGGCTGGCGGGAACGGATCCGCGGCCGCCCGGGGCTGCTCCGGAGATCCTCTGGTGAGTAGGCGGCTCCGCTGCCGGGCCGCGGGATGGTCCCGGTGGCTGCCTGCGAAGCTCTGCGGGTGGGTCGTCCAGCAAGCTTCTGTGATTGCCAGCTGCTTCGGAAGAAACAGCACAAAGTTTCTGCACTTAGTAACGAGACTTTTTACCTATTCGGGGCTATTTGCACCAGCTCCGGTCTCTTTGGACAGGTAGTCTTTCACCTTTCCTTCCCACTCCCCAGACTTCAAATAACTGCCCCCTCCCCGGGAGAGAGTTGCTTTTGGGGTATCAGGTCCACTGGATCTGATCTGGGTGTCAGCAACTATTCATATGCTGAATGGGCGATTCAGATGATGGATTTGGGTTGTTTCCAATTTTGCTGCTATGGTCAATTCTGCAGTGGTTCTAGTTGCACTTGACATACCGTAGTTCCTCCTCTCCAGCTCTGTGGCAGCACGTACCCCTCTCAGTTTTTATTGCGTCTGAACCGAGGATTCATTTCACCAGCTGCTGGGCATCTTGGGTGTGTGTTGATGACGGTTGCTGCTTGCTTATGACAAAACGCAGCCCCGTGAATTATTGTTTTATCAACTGAGATACTCAAGCTGAGCTCTCTAATTGTTTTCTAAAATAACTTTAAAAGATAATACCCACTGGTACTGGTGAGATGGCTCAGCCGGTAAAGGCTTTTGCAGCCAGGTCTGATGCTCGGGTAGAAGGAGAAAACCAACTCTCAAAAGTTGTCATGTGACCTCCAACCCCAAAATTAACACATGTAAAATCTTTTTTTTTTTAATTAAGATAAGGTTTATTGTACAGCTTTAAAATAAAAAAGGTTTTAACTGTTAATTTAGAGTTTCCTGTAGACCTAACATTGTCTCAAGGCTGCCTCCCTGTGCAGTACAGTTACCATCCACATTTTATAGAAGGGGAAACTGAAGCTCAGATTTGAAGTGCCTCAGGTCTCAGCTTTACATACAGGTCTGACATCAAAAATTCTTCCTTGACTCCAAATATGTAAGCAGGCAGAAGGGGCATGCAGATTACAAGTCAGGTCAGGGCGTGTGAACATTTGTACATTTTTTGGTACTTGTGTATCTATTTGTTTGGAGCTGAGACTTGCTTATTTCTGTATCCAGGACAGTATTATTTCAGTATCAGTGCCAAATATTTTAGGCCTTTGTGCAGTTATAAACACATTTCTGGACTTCTGGGTGTATGATGGTTCTCTGGCTCTCTCCTTTCTTGCCTTTTGCTCTTTAGGCATATAAAGCAGATTAGTGGGATGGCATAGGGAAAGGCACCTGCTGCCAAGCCTTACAGCCTGAGTTCAATCCCTATGACCCACGTGGTGGAAGAAGAGAATAGACTCCCATAAACTATCTTGTGCCCTCCAGCTGGGCACCATGGCACAAGCACAGACAGACAGATAGACAGACAGACAAAGTTAAAAGAAAGTACAGCCAGGCATAGTGGTGCTCACCTTTAATCCCAGTACTCAGGAGGTAGAGGCATGAGATCTCTGAGATCAAGACCATCCTGGTCTACAGAGTGAATTTGAAGCCCTCAAAGCAGCTCACAGGACTGCCTCCCAAAGATGCAGCATCTGTACCCAGGGTTCTTCAGGTCACGATGGTCTCTGACGTTGCAGGGTCTCAACAGACTTTCGAGGGTAAAAGATAATGGTCTGAGGACCATACGACCAGGAAGCCTGTCATCGAAAGTTCCAGCAGTTTCCCCACTAGAAGCATCCATCCCCAATCAGGCCGGAGCCATCATGCCTCAGCAGCTCCTGATCACCTTGGCCACTGAGGCCAGCGCCTGGGTGAAGTTGAACCATCCCAGGAAGACCAAGGAGGGGGTGTCCCTGTGGGAGGATGTGACAAAAATGTTTGAAGGAGAAGGTGAGAACAGGCAAATCTGGGAGAAGGGGTGGTCCCTTGGGAATAACTTAGGGGTAAGAAGGCCATGTGTGGTTCATGCTTGTGGTTTGGGGGTCAGGAGATATTTGTGAAGGAAATGCTGGGCTCCTACCTCTGGTTCCTCATGACTTTTACTGTGTGCCCCTTCTTTTTCCCATCCCCAGGAACAATATGCAACAGGAAGAAAGGCCACAGGATGTGCCCCCTCCCCCCACTGCCAGTTCCTGAGTGTGAGGGTCTAATTCAGGATCAGGGAGTCAGAGGTCTCTCTCTGTCCGTGAGTCTCAGGTTTTCTGCAGAGCTCCTGGTTGTCTTTGCCTAGTCAGTCTTTTTTGTAATATTTTTATCGTCGTCTTCCTCTGAGAGGTGGGAACAGAATGCCTGGCTGCTCTCATGGTGCCTAAATTGTGAATTCCTTTAAGACATGCCCAAGTCTTAGTCTGTTCAGAGTAGGGTAGGAAGAGGAGTCAGTGTTTTGTGTGGTCTTGTATTCAGCCCAGTGTTTTTTGTTCTAGCTGAGGGACTTTGGCTAAGCATCTTTTTTTTTAATTATTTATTTATTTATTTACTTATTTATTCATTTTATGTATGTGAGTACACTGTCACTGTCTTCAGACACACCATAAGAGGACATCAGACCCCATTACAGATGGTTGTGAGCCACCATGTCGTTGCTGGGAATTGAACTCAGGACCTTCAGAAGAACAGTCAGTGCTCTTAACCACTGAGCCATCTCTCCAGCCCTGACTAAGCACCTTAACAGTTGATAAAAATGAATATTACCTCTTGTTGTTGTCAGTGGTGGTATTTGTTTGGTCACGGTATCTCATGTATAGCCCAGCCCAGGCTCCAGTTTGGATTGCTATGTAGCAGAGGCTGGTCTTTAACTCTTTATCCCCCCACTTCCACCTTCCAAGTGCAGGGGTTAGAGTTGTGTGCCACCATGGTGTGCCACCATGCCTGGCATGAGTAAGTTATGATGCATAATAATAATTAGTAATTGTCGAGGGAGACAAAGATAAAACTAATAAGGTTTTTGTTTAATAACCTTAAAAAAAAGGTTCTTTGATATACAATGGGCAAGAAGCCATCTTCTCAATGCATGGACTAAGATTTTCCTGAGGCAGATACCACAGAATCAGGTCTAGAAAGTGTCTTAGTTTTTATTGGAGAAAGGATAGAAAAATTTATACTTAAAGGAGTGGGTTTCAAAGTGAACCATAGAGTTGGGGGTGTTCAGCCTAATCAAAGCTTAAGAATGTGGTGCCCAGTGTCTAAATTAATCAGTTAATAATAATAATAAAAGAGTATGGTGCCCAGCTGAGTGTGCAGCCGAGGTCAGCCTGAGCTACCGAGTGAGACCCTGTCTAGACAAGAGCAAGTCCAGTGTGGTGTGGAGAGCTTGAGTCTCAGAGATCAGGAGGCAGACACAGGCAGGTCTCTGAGTTCCAGGCCAGCCAAGGCTTCATGCTCTTTGTGAGTGTGTGGGGAAGGAGCCCCTGCCTGTGGGACTGGGGAGCTGGGAAGGTGCATACCTCATGCTTCTTCTCCTTCCATAGCTCTGCTATACCATGAAGCTGATGGAACGCAACAAGAAAGCATAGCTGATGGAGTGACCCCTGGCATCCGTGCAGCAGAATCCCAGGTGAGTTGGAGTTTCCTCGATTTTTCTTGACATTCCTTATTAGTTTTTAAGGATATAAACCACCTTTTTTGAGAAGGGGAAGTAGGTTAATACCAATAATTCAATCTGGGGAGACCCAGACAAATCACTCACATAGAAAGTTTCTCTGGTGGCAGTTTCCAGTTTTATTGTGGCTTCATCTGGAACATTACCCTAATTTCAAAGTAGAAAGTAAAGAGAGTAATACAGTTATACCCCGGCCCCAGCCAACAGAATTACTTGGCATCTAAGATAGACATAAGTAAAATAGGCTTTAAGAGAGGGCTTAAAACAGACAGGGGTACTCACTCCACAGTGGTGAAGGCCTGAGTTAGATCTCACCCTCAGCGTAACAATCTGGGTGTGTTTGTAATCCCAGTGCTGTAGGGCCTGGAAAGAGGAGGATCACTGGGGCTTACTGGTTGAGGAAGGACAGGCTCAGGTTCAGAGAGGAGACCCTGCCCCAACTTCCACAAGGCGTCCTCTGGCCTCCAGAGCACTCTATAATACTCTCCTGATGCATAAGTAGTAAATGTGATTAAGAATTAAAACCTGGCTGAGCTGTGGTGGCGCACACCTTTAATCCCAGCACTTGGGAGGGAGAGGCAGGCGGATTTCTGAGTTCGAGGCCAGCCTGGTCTACAGAGTGAGTTCCAGGGACAGCCAGAACTACACAGAGAAACCCTGTCTTGAAAAAACTAAAACAAAACAAAAAAGCCGGGGGCTGGAGAGATGGCTCAATGGTTAAGAACACTAGCTCTTCTTCCAAAGGACCGGGGTTCAGTTCCCAGCATGGCAGCTCACATCTGTCTGTAACTCCAGTTCCAGGAGATCTGACACCCTCATTCCAATACACATAAAAAAACAAAACAAAAAACAAAACAAAACAGAAAAACAGTTATTTGCCAGGCAGTGGTGCACACCTTTAATCCCAGCACTTGGGAGGCAGAGGCAGGCGGATTTCTGAGTTCGAGAGTTCAAGGCTAGCCTGGTCTACAGAGTGAGTTCCAGGACAGCCAGGGCTACACAGAGAAACCCTGTCTCAAAAAAACCAAAAATAAAATAAAATAAAATAAAATAAAATAAAATAAAATAAAATAAAATAAAAGCCTAGGTTCTCAGCACCAGGGAAGGATTGCGTTTTTATTCAAATTTGAAGTGCAAGTGACCTGTAGGAAAATACAGATGTATGACTCAGTGGGTATGGTGGCACATCTGGAACGCCAGTACTTAGGAGTGAGAGAGTTGCTATGGGTGGAATTGTAGCAATTGGGAAAAAAGTCTTGGCTACATAGCAAGGCTGTATTTTAGACAGACAGACAGACAGACAGACAGGAGTTAGAGAGCTCAGACATTGAAAGCACTTGCTGCTCTTCCAAAGGACCCAGGTTAGATAGCAGCAGCAGTCGGGAGGGTGGCAACTGTCTAACTCCAGTGCCAGGAGTCCTCTTCTGGCTTCTTCAGGCACTGTGCACACAGTGCATTCAGGCAAAGCATTCATACACATAATATAAAATAAATAAATCTTTAAAGAGGAAAGTACAGGAAATTAAAAAGTACCCCTATTTTGACATGCATGTACTATGGGAGCAAACTAATAATAAAAAATAGAGAATTCTCTTGTCCTAGGAAGTTCCTTCAAGCTCCTTTCCAATCAGTACTCCATTCCACCCCTGGAAGAGAGGACATGAAACTTACACATTCTGTCTTACAACTGAATTTAACTCTACAATGCCTTAAAAAGTCTGTAGACTATTTTTTTAAAGTTTTATGTGGATTTTATAGTTGTGAAGGAATGGTGTTATTCAGATCTTCATCCTTCATAGTTTTGTTTTTCTTTTGACCAGGGTCTCACGTAGCCCAGAATGGCCCTAAACTCACTACATAGAATTGGCTGTGTATCCAAGGATGACCTTTATTTCTGACCCACCTCCCTCCATGCCTAGGGCGTGGGCCCTGGGGTTAGAGGTTTACGCTGTCACTCAGTTTACAGGGCTGAGGATGAAGCCAGGCTTCTTGATGCTGTGCAAGCGGTTCAGCAGCTGAGCTGTAGCCCAGCTCCCTCTTTGACACATTTTTATTTACTGGTCCCATCAGTTGTTGACAGAGGATCTTAAGTTTGTCATTGTGATTTTTTGACTTCTGTCTCCTTAGTTCTGACAGTTTTGTTTGAATAATAATGATAATAGTTATTTTTATTTTTTGAGAAAGGGTTTCTCTGTGTAGCTCTGGCTATCCTGGGACTTGCTCTGTAGACCAGAGAGCTCAGACTTTGGAAGTGTATACCATGGCCTCAGAGAGCCACCTTCTTCTGCTAGGATTAAAGCTGCCAGGCCTTGGACCATCTCCTTAAATAAACCTCCTTAGCTTTATGAAATAGCCCTGTGAGTTAAAGGATCCCACCCCAAACCTACTTAGACTTGTCTAAAGTGCCTTCCTCCTCCTCCTTCTTTGTAACCGTCCGTTTGTCCCACGTTTGGGGGCCACTTTGTAATTGTCTGGTTTGTTGTTCTAATCTGTGGGTCAGGGTCTAGCGAGAGAGAGAGAGAGAGAGAGAGAGAGAGAGAGAGGACAGAGGGACGAGAGACGTGAAGAAACGAGACAGAGTCTGGTCTATTCTCTCTTCAAGTCTTTTTTTCTTTTTTTTTTCCAGACAGAGTTTCTCTGTGTAGCTCTGGCTGTCCTGGAACTCACTCTGTAGACCAGGCTGGCCTCGAACGCAGAAATCCACCTGCCTCTGCCTCCCAAGTGCTGGGATTAAAGGTGTGCGCCACCACCGCCTGGCTAAGTCTCTCTTTTAATGAAAGGAAATCATGGGTATATATAAGCATAAGCAGGGGAACACAGCTGAAGACACTTTACCACGTGCATCTTGCAGCTGGGGGCACTAAACAACAAAACAAGCTATGTGAGAAAAACATTTATCAGAGTGTGTTCAGCTGTTGTAGGCTGTTGAAAACAAGTCTCTTGTCAGGGTATATGGCTCAAAGATGGCTGCAAAGATGATAGCCGCTTTCTGCTCAGAGTCAGCTCCCAACAGGTCCCCCCTTTTAATTTTTTTTTTCAAAAGGGAAGGCTGGGAAAACTCACAGAAACCGTGCCTGCCTTAGGTTGGAACAAAGGACCCCAGCCTCCCTTTCCCGTCTTTGGATACTCAACAGCCATTGGTTGAGCTCCTGTCTTAGGATGGTGAGGCCTCCCAGATAGGGGCAAGGGTCTTGAGACGTTCTCTTACCCGTCATTGACTATCCTGCTTAGCGCATAAGTTAGGGGTTAATCTTAGTCAGTCTTGATGACAGAGGTTTTAGAGTCCCCTACTTCTAGCCTGTAATAATGGACCTGTATGGGTTTCATTTGAATAGTGTCTATCTGTTGTCATACAAAAGCCATCAGTTTGTTGAACAGCGTGAACCTGAGAGACAAGGACTTAGCAATGTCTGAATGGTTAGTGTAAAAGCAACACTCTTTTTAGGGTAGCACACAACTCTCTCTATTGGAGGAGTAAAAAGTATAAGCCTCTTCTATTCTGTAGCACTATTTCAGCTAAGAAGGATAATGAATTTTACAAATGTATTATAGCAGATTCCATTCTTTCTAAATCTAAATCTATAGAAGTACAGAACTGATCATAGCTTTGATCTTAACAAAACAAATAAAGAAAATCTCCATTTCTGTCCTAGTCAATCTTAAACCCAAAAAACTATAGTAATTGTGGTAATGGGTTTTTTTTTTTTGAGTCTAAACAATGTATCTCACTAAATCATAAATCAGGGAACCAAAAGTCTAATAGAGCCGTCCTGGAGGTGTGGGTGGTGATGTCTTCTTTTGCACTGAGAACTTCTCAAGTCTGGTATGTTGGTTGATCTATTCCTGTTTGAAGACAATTGTGAAGCATCTTCATGTTTCCTGTAAAGAAAAAATATGTTTCTCAGGGGATTTCTCCTCTCTGAATTTGTTATTGTTGTCTATTTTTTTAATCAGTCTCTCTGGCAGCCAGCGTGTGGCATCTGTCGTTTGAGAATCAGAGGAACCAAAGTATGTATCAGAGGAACCAAAGCCTTGATCTTCTCTCTTAGGACTCTTATATTTATGATTAGTAGAGATCAATGGAAGTAACAATGGTTGAGCTATCTTCTTTCCTGTAGGAATGGTGACTATATTCTGTATTGTCTTGGCCATTACCTTAATCTCACCTTGATAATCATTGTCTATAACTCTAGGAAAAATTTGTAGTCTCTGTATAGTAGCACTGCATCTTCCCACTATCAGGCCAAACACATTTGGATAGAGTGGTCTAAACACTCCGGTGGGTAAGGCCTGAGGTCTCATTTCTGGGATTAATACTGTGTGGGTGGCAGAACTGAGGGCCACTTCTGTGTTTCCTGGTGTTGTTCGACTAAGTCCTGAAAGGGGTTGTTGTTTGTTGGTATGAAACTGACTGTCCCATAAGCCTGTTTTGGCTTATATTGGTTCAGGGCCTGGGGCTGGCCCCTGTTCCCGTTTTCCTGATTATGGGGAAGGGTGTTTCCTTGTGTATCTGTCTTGGACCTATATTTACTAGTCCAATGCCTTCCACATTTGCAACGTGGGCATTTCCCAGGCTGTTTTCTGGTTGTCTCTGGGTTAACTCATTTTCTGCTTTGCAATATTTTGCAAAGTGTCTAGGCTTGTCACATTTAAAACAGGCCTTTTTGTCTCTACTTGTCAAAAAATCTCTTATTGATTGTCTTTGTATGGCAGCTGCCATAGCTAAGCCCTGTTGGTAGGAGGGCCCTATATCAGAACAGAGTCTGATATACCCAGTAAGGTCTGTCTTTTTCCTATAGGGTCTAATGGCCGCCTCGCAGGCAGAATTGGCATTTTCATATGCAAGTTGTTTCACATAATCTACACCTGTCTCTGCATTACCAAAAATCCTCTCTGCTGTTGTCATTAATCGATGAACAAAATCAGAAAATCTTTCATCAGGCCCTTGTCTGACTGAGGTCAAAGATGCACCAGGGTCTCCCTTTACCAGGAGTTTGTGCCAAGCCTTCATGGCTGTATTTTGAATTTGAGTGAATAAGCCTGGGTCATATTGCATCTGATTATCACTAGAAGCAAAGTGCCCTTCTCCTACTAAGGCATCAAAGGACCAACCATTACCTGCCTAAATGTTTCTCCTAGCTGTCTCTTTACAATTCTCGTGATACTCTGGATTTCCAAATAAAATGGTCACCACCACTAAGAACTGCTCTCACTAGAGTATCCCAATCACCAGGAGTCAGCCACTCCTCTGCAACAGATTCTAAGATTGCAAGAGTAAAGGGAGCAGTGGCACCGTATTGTGCCACCGAATTTTTTAATTCTTTAACAATTTGAAAATTAAACCCTGTGTGATGTCTCCACGCAACCCCTTGAGCATCTCTAGTCTCTGATACAGGGAAAACCTTAACCTCTCTCTCCTCTGGCTGATCTGTGGCTGAACTAAAACCAGAGGACAGGGGTTGCCTTTGGACTCTGGGTTGAGGAACTCGAGGATCTGGGGGATTTTCTTTGTCCTCTTGAGACATCTTTCCTGTCTTTAATTTTTGTAGCTGATTAATTAAGTCCTGATACTCTTCCTCTAATTCTACTTGTTGTTTAAGAAATTTGTTGTTTAAGAAATTTTGTCCTGCAACTCCTTTCTGGGATCTACAACCACCATCTCCATAGCAGGAGCATCTGGAGGTGCAGGAGCAAAGAGAGGGGGCCTATGGGAAGAGGACCATTCAGGGTCGTAATTTTTGGCTGTCTCTTCCTCTAGGTCAGCACAATCTGGCTCTGACAGACTACTTCAACCTTTGGTCATATTTTGGATTCTATGCTTTTCTTTTTCTTTTGAACATGAAAGACAGCATTTAAACAGCGAAACAAAAGCAGACAATTGATACACGTAAACAGCAAACAACAAAACAAAAACAGAGAGTTGAGTTCAGGCTGACTTATTTCTTGCCCCATTATCATTACTATGACCTACTGATCTCCACACGGCTGTTTCCTGCCACAATCGCCTCTGTTTCACTTCTGAATTTTCAGTCGACCCTTCTTCCAGTAACATCCCTCACTGGGCCCCTCGTTCTTGTTGCCCCACGTTTGGGGGACACTTTGTAACTGTCCGTTATGCTGCTCTAATCTGTGAGTCAGGGTCTAGCAAGAGAGAGAGTGGGGACAGAGGGACGAGAGACGTGAAGAAACGAGACAGAGTCTGGTCTATTCTCTCCTCAAGTCTCTCTTTTAATGAAAGGAAATCATGGGTATATATAAGCATAAGCAGGGAACACAGCTGAAGACACTTTACCACGTGCACCCTGCAGCTGGGGGCAATAAACAACAAAACAAGAGATGTGAGAAAAACATTTATCAGAGTGTGCTCAGCTGTTGTGGGCTGTTGAAAACAAGTCTCTTGTCAAGGTATATGGCTCAAGATGGCTGCAAAGATGATAGCCGCTTTCTGCTTAGAGTTGGCTCCCAACACTTCTTCTTCTTCTTCTCCTCTTCTTCTTCCCTCCTCCTCTTCTTCTTCTCCTCCTCCTCTTCTTCCCTCCTCCCTCCTTTTTAAGGTCTAACATTGTGGCTTTGCCTACAGTCCACTTTAACTTGACTCTCTGGTTTTTCCACTATGCTTGCACAAAGCCACCTTCCTGTCCCTCTTACTTTAAGCCTCTGTCTGCAGTGTGACTTCCATAGCCAGCTCTTGCTTGTTTAGTCCACTCACATAGTTGGTCGTTGATGTGGTTGCTTCGTTCGTGTGTATTTTATTCTTTGTCCTGATTGCACTGTTACTTTTTGGCCATCTTTACTACCTTCCTTTGGATTGAATACTTTTTCAGTGTTCCACTTTTGTCCTCTAATGATCTTTGGCTTCCCTTAAAAGTCCATGGTGGTGCATTCTCATAAGCCCAGCTACCCTGTTGTCTTTATCAGTCCAGCCTACCTTAAGTGACACTGACATTTGCTGCTCTTGCAAAAACCTGGGTTCATTTTCCAGAACCCACAAGGTACCTCGTAACCATCCGTAACTTCATTTCCCTGGGATCAGATGCCTTCTTCTAACCTCTTACTGCAACCTTCCTCCTCAGACAGATGTTCACTCTGAGGCCTTTTAGATCATTCAGGAATACTCTTCCCCAAGATTTCCACATGACTCTTCCCCCATTGATCACTGCCTATAGCCAAACAGTACATTTCAGAGAACACTGCTTTCCATAGCACCCCAAAACAAGATCACCTCAACTCTCACTGGTGTTTGCACTTCTTCATGTTTCTTTTATATCCTATATATTTAATTATAGCAGTCTTTAGAAAATCTCCTGACAGACCCAGAGCCTGCTCCTGGTGTCAAATTGGTGTGGAATCTCTGAACTTGGAATACTACCAGGACTCCTTAGACTTTGACTGGGGTGGACTCTGACTCCTCTGACTGTTTGATATTGCAGGAATCGTTGACTTTCAAGGACATAGTTGTGGACTTATCCCAGGAGGAATGGGAGCAACTGGCTCCTGCATACCGGGATTTGTATCGGGAGGTGATGCTGGAGAACTACAGAAACCTGGTGTCAGTGGGTAAGGGCCAGCCAACTGATCTTACTTCATTTTTGTTGCTATGATAAAATTCCCCACAAAAAGCAACTTATAATCTTGGAGAAGTTGAGGCAAAAACTTAAGCATCACATCTCCAGTAAAGAGCAAAGACTAGAATAAATCCTTGTTTGCTTGCTTGCTTTCAGCTAGCTTTTTCTATGCCAACATAGTCCAAAGCCCCAGACTAGGGAATGGTACCACCCACAGTAGACTGGGGTCTTCTCTCATCAATAAAAGACAGTCTCCCACACCAACTTGATCTAGACAGTTCTTCAATTAAGGATCTTCTCAGGTGATTTAAGGTTGTGTCAAGTTGACCATTAAAAATTAGCCATCACAACAGCTGTCTTCTACAAACCATGCCATCGTAAGAGCCATTGTCGCTAAACTTTTGATGTCGTGGATTTGTTGAGTTTTGGCTGTGGATTCTGTATTAGAGAAGTCTTGTTCCTTTGAAGACCAGGGCATAACTAATGACTTCCTTAAGGGACAGCTTTATTTCATAGAGCTGGAAAAGAAAGATGTGACCCTGTTGGTTATCAGGAAACCTGAATAGCAAAAGCCGGAGCTAAACTCTGGGTTCTTCAACAGCAGCATCAACATTCGTAATTTTTCTTTAACTCCATAAGCAGGATATCAACTTTCCAAGCCTACTGTGATTTCCCAGTTGGAGAGAGGAGAAGGACCATGGATGGCAGAGAGTCGAGGCCCAGTGGATTCCATTTTAGGTGAGACCAGGGTAGATGATCCCTTTGGGTAGATAAGCCACAATGCTTGGTCTTCCCAGGCTGTCAGGAAGGCTCAGGGCACGGACAGTACCTGAATTAGGTCTCATTTCACCCCTTCCTCATTGCTCCTTTCTTTTGAGAGTCTCTGTAGTTAGAAGGGAGAGAAGCCTTGCCCTCGTTGGAGTCAAACCTGATCCCCTCACAGAACCAGAAGTACCTGACATGAAGCACCTCATAGATACCTGCTGTCCTCAGTGCCGTGTTACGTCCCACAAACCTTCCTCTCTTTCGCTTCCTTTGTCTCCTTTTCTCACTGTTATTTTATAATCCCAACTTCAGTTTTGATGCTCCTTTTAACTCATGTATATAATTTTCTTCATAACGACCTCATAAAACGTCCTGTAGAGGGCTGGGGAGATGGCTCAGCAGGGGAAGGTCCTTGCTGCCGCAGCTAAAGACCCAAGTGCCGTCCCAGGATCCGCAGTGTGAAAGGAGAGAGCTGGCTCCTGAAAGTTCTCTTCTGACCTCTATCTTCATGTGTGCTATGACATGTACGCACATGTACACACACACACATGTAATTTAAAAACTTAAAAACTTGTCTCTCACAAACAATCAGGAAAGATAAAGATCTCATAGCATATTCACCCAGTGAACTTACATTAATGTTAAAGTGTTGGCAAAAGTGCTGAGCTTGGGGAGCCCTCAAGCAGACTGGAAACATCAAACAGTGAAGCTGACTGAAAGGCAATGTGGTGTGCCCTCACCAAATGAAGGCACATCTGGGCCATGACCCAGCAGTGTTGCCTCAGCCAGCTCTTTTAGAGGAATACTTGTCTATGAACCCGGACAGACGTGCATGTGTATGTGTATCATGGGATCTGTGACCTCCACTGTGCAGTTTAGGAGGTAGTAGCAGAAGGGTCTGGAATTCAGGGCCAGCCTGGTTTACCCAAGACTATCTCAAAAAATAAAAAGGTTCAGGATTTTCTCCATGAAGGTCTTACACACATTGCATATCATATGTTAGATTTATTGTGAAATCTTGTACTTGCTAGTATAGGTGATACATTTTTTAGAGTTATATTTTGTTTAGTACTGGAAAGAAGTAATACCTTGGACTGGTGAGATGGCTCAGCGGTTAAGAGTACTGACTGTTCTTCCGGAGGTCATGAGTTCAAATTCCAGCAACCACATGGTGGCTCACAACCATCCGTAATGAGATTTGATGTCCTCTTATGGAGTGTCTGAAGAGAGCGACAGTATACTTACATATAATAAATTAATAAATAAAACCTATGGGCCAGATCCATGGGAGAAGGGAAGGGGGAAAAATGTAATACCTTACTTTGAACGTTTCTATTTTGACATTTTAAACTTTTATTCATTGTTTTTGGGCATTTTGAAGCAAGGTATCATTATTAGGTAGTCCACGCTGGCCTCAAACTCAAGATGATCCTCCTGCCTCAGTTTTCAGAATATCAGGCCAGAATCATCACACTCTGCTTGATTTTTCAGAGTTACTGTTCATATTGACCTTAAGTTACCCTGTTATAAACAACACTTGCCTGTACATCCTCCTGGGTTTTATCACACACAACAGATAATGTCGAGAGCAATACAGGCTGAGGGTACATACAGTTCACGGGCAGAAAATGCACGTGCTGGGATCACAAAGCAAGCAACAAAGAGAAAGCATGAGAGCTGCTGTGGTTGTTGTTGTCTCTTGATGGAATCTTAAAGGTAACCTTGTAAACAGAAGAGTTAGCCAGCGACTGTGGCTCCTGAAGTTCGGGGGCAGGAGATTAGGACTTCAAGGTCATACTTACCTTTGTAGGAGGATCGAGGCCAGACTGGGCTACTTGAGACCCTGTCTTGAAAAACAAACAAACAAAAAGACCTAAAATAAATAACAATTATTTATTTAATTCAGTGAAATAGCAAAATTCCAGTTTCAGAGTTCAGTCTTGCTTTCTCCTCTCCCTCAGCTTTGGAGAGCAGTACACAGATGGTCTCTTCCCATCATCCCCTTCTCCTCTCCAGGCCCAGAGCCAAAGCTTGATAGACCTAGACTTTATTACTGTCTCTGTTGAGAGCTTGAAATTCAAAAATGCTTATGATCCTTCCACACTGATTTAAAAATCTTACAGGGCCAGGCAGTGGTGGTTCATGCCTTTAATCCCAGCACTTGGGAGGCAGAGGCAGGCGGATTTCTGAGTTCGAGGCCAGCCTGGTCTACAGAGTGAGTTCTAGGACAGCCAGGGCTACACAGAGAAACCCTGTCTTGAAAAACGAAAAAAAAAATCTTACAGGAAATTACATCTTTCATGGGTAATAGACCCATCACCTGAAATATTAGTAATGATGGAATGAATTACTAAGAAAGAAAACTAGCTAACATTTTTTTAAAAAAATTTTTTGTTGTTATTTCTCTGTAGCCCTGGCTGTCTTGGAATTCACTCTGTAGACCAGGCTGGCCTCAGATTCACAGAGATCTGCCTGCCTCTGCCTCCTGAATGCTGGGATTAAAAGTGTGCACCACCACTGGGGTTGAGGGTTGGCATGTTTTTAATATTTCTGAGATAAATTTTCAAAATAGTTGTCAGTTTAAAGCCATATCCTTGAAGGCATAGGCCTTTAATGTCATTTTTCAGTGTTATTAGAACACAGCTAAGCCAGATGTGTGACACACAGCCAGCATTTGAAAGGTAGAGGCCGGAGGAGCAGGAACTCAGGGGCACTTTTAGCCATGTGAGGCCCCATTTCAAAACAGAACAAAAGCAAACAAAAACAAACAAAACAGAAAGAAAGAAAGAAAGAAAGAAAGAAAGAAAGAAAGAAAGAAAGAAAGAAAGAAAGACCTAGAGAGAATTGAATGTTGCAAATTTGATAACATTAAATCGGATACGAACAACCTAGTCACTGTTTCTTTGCATTTTATTTATTTTTGAGATAGGGTCTCAAGTGCCTTAAGCTGGTCTTGCACTCTCTGTGTGGCCATTGATGACTTTAAACTTCTGATCTTCCTGCCTCCCCTTCTTGAGTGATGGGTACAAGCACAGGCCATCTAGTCTAGTTCATGCAGTGGCCAGGGCTTCCTGTAAGCTAGGCAAGCACTGCCCACTGAGCAGCCCCGTTTTCTGCTTCTTAATTCATTCCTATTGTCTGTCCACTCTGTATAACTCTATCTAAATACAGCAAAAAACCTTATGCTGCTTTCCATACTGTATCTAAATCTCTTCTGCGACCTTTACAGTATTTGATTTTCTTCAAAGCATAATGAATGAGTTGTTCACATTTCCTTTTTTCCCATTCAGATGTGAAGACTAAACTAAAAACCAGAGAGTCAACTGCAGAGGGTGACATTTCCATGAAGCTCTGTCATGGTGTCATGAGGGGAAGGCTCATAGAGGATGATATTTGTTCTCCATTGAAAAAAGCCTCCAGCTACGATGGTACATTATTAGAGAGGCACCGGGAAAACTGTGGGAAAGGCATGAGACAAACCATTTGGACCCACAAAAAGAAACACCAAGAAGTGAACCAATTAGAAAACCCAGAGAGTTCCAATGTAATTTTAGAACAGAAGCACCATAAATACAAACCAGCCAGAAAGAGGAACAAATATAAATTAGATTCAATTAACCATCCAGTGAGCTGCATGAGAACCAGAATGTACCAATGTAATATATGTGAAAAAATGTTCAAACAGCCCATTCACCTTACTGAGCACATGAGGATTCACACTGGTGAGAAACCGTTCCGGTGTAAGGAGTGTGGGAGGGCCTTTAGTCAGAGCGCATCTCTTAATACACACCAGCGAATCCACACTGGTGAGAAGCCCTTCAAGTGTAAGGAGTGTGGCAAAGCCTTCAGGCACCGCTCATCGCTTAACCAGCACCACAGGACTCACACTGGAGAGAAACCTTTCACATGTGATAAGTGTCAGAAAGCCTTTAGCCAGAACATCAGCTTGGTCCAACATTTGAGGACTCATTCTGGAGAGAAACCCTTTAGCTGCAATGAATGTGGGAAGACCTTTCGACAGATTAGACACCTTAGTGAACACGTGAGAATTCACACTGGGGAGAAGCCCTACAAATGCACTTCATGCTGTAAAACGTTCAGTCATAGGGCGTATCTCACACATCACCAGCGAATCCACACCGGGGAGAGACCCTACAAATGTAAGGAGTGTGGGAAGGCCTTTAGGCAGAGGATACACCTTAGCAACCATAAGACTGTCCATACTGGGGTGAAAGCGTATGAGTGTAACCGCTGTGGGAAGGCCTACAGGCACGATTCGTCCTTTAAGAAACACCAGAGACATCACACCGGAGAAAAGCCTTATGAATGTCATGAGTGCGGAAAGTCCTTCAGCTATAACTCATCGCTGAGCCGACACCATAAAATACACAGGAGGAACGCTTTCCAAGATGATCCGGCACATGAGAACAAAAAGCAACTCTAATCGGTGATTCTGATTAAAATTTCAGGACTCATATAACCTTGAAAAACTGATAACAGCGGTGGCAACTTTTGATTTTACCAAAACACTCTGTTGGTTGCTACTGTCTGACACACAAAATGATAAATTAAGCATTATGAAAAATTCACAATTATTTTTTCTCATTTCATGGTAGATGAATAAATTATTTCCTATGACTCACTGATTTACAGCTATTTGGGAACTACTGTTTAAAATGTTACCTCCTAGACTGCAGAGGTGACTCAGCAGGTAAAGGCCTTTGTCACTAAGCATAGAACCATACCGGATTTTGATCCTTGGGACCCACGAGGTAGGAAAACTGGCCTCCACAAGCTGTCCTCTGAGCTCCATGTGTGCACACAAACTAATTTTAAAATATCACCCATATCCTTTACTAGAGTCACAGTTTCGAGTATCTTTTCTCCAGGCATCTTAACCCAGCTTTCCAAACACCTCTAAATACCCGTGCTGTTTTAGAGAATTAATTTACAATACTAAGTTAAATCTAGGGCAATGTGAATAATTTGAAAGTTCTACCACTAAACAATACCAACTTTTTTTTTTTTTTTTGAAATGGTATTGTTTTTCCCCCACATCTGGTCTCAAAGATTATGTAGTCAAGGCTGGCCTTGAATTTACAATCCTCTTGCCTCTAAACTCTCAAGGTCAGGATTTCAAACATGGGCCACCACACCTAGTTTATGCAGTGCTGGGGGCTGTGCTCAGAGCTGTGTGTATGCAAGCATCCTACCAATCGAGTTACATCCTCAGCCCCCCACCCCCTTTTTTAAAATTTGTTGAATCTGGATTCAGTAAGTTGTCCAGGCTGGAGCTGAACTCTGATGCTTCTACTTCAGTATTCTGAGTAGCTAGCTGGGATTATAGGTTTATGCCATGAGGTGCTACTCAAACACTTGCTGAGTGTTGCTGGGTTTGCCCCAGGAGGTCTTTTGTTATGTTTGTAGAGAAGTTCAAACTTGACATTGCAACATGAAATTCACACTCTGCAGTTGGGGCTGGAGAGATGGCTCAGCCAATGAGAACATATACTGCTCCTGCAGAGGACCTCAGGCCATCCACAACTGCATGCAACTCAAGTTCCAGGGCTATCCAATACCTCTTGCCTTTGTAAGTACTGCACTTAAGTTCATAAACCCAGCATGTGCCTGCATGCTCACACACACACACACACACACACACACACACAATTTTTTAAAAGCTTTAAAGAATCCTGCAATGGAGTTTAGAAGATATCAAAATAGCTACAATTTTGTGTTGGTCTCAGTTCATAACTATCCTGGGGTGAATGCAGCCCCTAAGCTGCAAACTGGACACTTGCTGGAACCTGTCCCTTGGCTTGGCTAGTTGCCAGCGCCTGCTGGGTCATTGTACCACACAGGCACTTCTCCCCCTGCCGATGACAGACATGGTTTTCCCCACGACTGTCTTTCAGCAGATCCTCGTCTGTGGCCATACACTTGACCTAATTGGTCTTACTGACCTTTACACTTCTCCAATTTGCATCTCCATTTTAGAAGTCTCTTGAGCTCCAAAGAATGTTCAATGTGGATATCGATATTCCTATACTTACTTCAAACTCAGTATGTTGAAAACTTTTCCTATCTCTACAGTAAAGTCTGCATTCCTTAAGTCAGGAAGCTGCACCACCACTGCTCCAACTCTCTCTCCAGCTGAAACTTCTTCTCACCTGGTATTTCCCTCAATTAGTTGCAAAATACCATTCTAGGACAGCCCCAGTTTACCTTCTTTCTAGGCCAGGGTATGCCTTCATCAGGTTCTTAGCACTTCCCAATTGCTTAGGTTGTCTGTTGAGCTTCCTCTAGCACAAAGGTTCTCAGCCTGTGGGTCAAGACTGATAGGCATTTTCTCCTTTGGTGACACAGATATTGATTGGCTAGATTAGACCAGATTAAAAGTAGATAAAGGTAGGTTTCTTAGGAGGCAGCTCTTGGGTGGGTTCACTGGTCTCAGGAGGTGGTGGTCAGTGAAGTCACACATCTAGGCTAAAGCAAGGGGATTTTGTAGAGTTTGGGAGAGGAATGATGACATGTCAGCTAAAAGCTGGGATGGTGTCCATACATGGTCAAAAACTGAGCCTCTGGGTAGGCACTCTTGGGTGGATTGCCAGAAACAGGGAGACGAGGAGTGATGACGTGTCAGCCCAGAGTTTTCTCCAAGCAGACAGGGAAATTTTCTGTGTGGGTGGGGCTGAGGGAAGGAGGGCAGACGGGGTTTCCCAGCTTGTGCAGTGGAAGATCCGGGGTTCTAGCCTAACAGCAACCCTCTTGGGGGTCACACATCAGATATTTACAATTCATAACAGCAGTAAAATTACAGTTATGAATTAGCAATGAAAATAATCTGTGGTTGAGGGTTACAACATGAGAAACTGTATTAAAGGGTCACAGCATTAGGAAGGTGAAGAACCACTGCTCCAGCAAATCTGTACTCATCTCTTATCTGTATGTAGCTACAATGACATTCTAAAACACACACCCAACCTACATTATTGTTTAAAATCTCTCAGTTGTTTATGATTAAGTAAAGATAAAGATTGTTGTGGTGGTTTGAACATGCTTAGCCCAGGGAGTGGCTCTATTAGGAGGTGTGGCCTTATTGGAGGAAGTGTGTCGCTGTGGGGTTGGGCTTTTAGACTCTCTCTTCTGGATGCCTTTAGATCAAGATATAGAACTCTCAGCTCCTCCAGCACCATGCCTGCCTGGATGCTACCATGTTTCTCACCATGATGATAATGGACTGAACCTCAGAACCTGTAAGCCAGCTGCAATTAAATGTTGTCCTTTATAAGAGTTGCCTTGGTCATGGTGTCTCTTCACAGCAATGGAAACCTAAGACAATTGTCTTAAGTGCAGAACCATTGGTACTATTTCTACTCAAATATACTTTGGTTTTGTCATAAAGATTTTATGGTTCCCAAATATCCAATCTTTTATTACTGGATTGTCTTAGGGTCTAACACTAGACTCCAGCAGGATTAAGAGGCTAGGCTCAGCCACTCCCCTTCAATATCCTCTTAATGAAAGAAAGGGGATTTATTCCTTGAGGCCACTTCACTGAAGTGTAATGATTTCCAAGACCATCTTTAGGGTCCTGACATGTGGTTTAGGTTTAAACAAGGCAAGAAGGGTGTACAGCTAAGCTGGTCAGGTCAAGGAATGGTCTTGTCCATAATTGTCTCAGCTTGTGTCTTCTGCAGAGTGGTCTGAGAAGCTGTAAGGATCCTGTGACGTCTCTTCCTGGAATACAAGTCCTCCTCTGGATGGTCCTGGGGAAATTAATTTCTCTCAGTCTACTGCTTCCATACTGCCAAAGGGAGAGGCACAAGTGCCTCTCTTATCTTTGCTCCCACCGTGACTGAGGATGGTTATTTCGTGGGCTTTAGTCCTCGTTTGTGCAATTTCCTTTTTTTTCTACCCAAGTTCTTTTTGTTTGGCATCTGTTCATCCTCCCCCAGATATAATACACTTTATAAAACCCTGATTCTGGCGAACCCCTTAAATTGTTGACTGAATTTACTAAATGAACCTAACAGCTAGGCTTTATCTAAAATCCCAGTGCTGAGATTTTTGGTGTGGAAAAATTACTTCAGGCTGGGAAGTACTTCTCAAAGGCTCAGAGTTTAAGAGCACTAGCTGCTCTTGCAGAGGACCTGAGTTTGTTTCTCTGTGCCCACGTGGCTCCCAACCCTTCTGTAACTCCGAGGCCCTCTTCTGGCTTCCTAGGGCATCAAGCAGACATGTGCCGGAGACATGCACGCTGGAAAAAAATCCAACAAACAATGATAATAATAATACCTTTAAAAAGAAAGAATCCGGGTATAGGGGCACAATGGCTGTAATCCCAGCACCGAAAAAGCAGAGGCAGGAGTATCCCATATTGGAGGCCAATAAAAAGGACGAAAGAAAATAAAAACGGCGCTGACAACTGCCAGCGTCTTTGAAGCCTGAGTTCACAATTGTTCCCTAAGCTGGGAAAGCCGGTGCCAGCTGCTAAGATCCGGATTCGGGCTCCAAGGGTGTGCGAGGCCAGCTGCACTGGGCACAGCGGGGTGACCACCATGACCTTCTCACCAGGCAGGCAGTCGTAAGAGACCGGGAAGGTGACAACTACATCCTTCCAGGCTGAAATACACCAGGCACCGGCGCATAAGGAACCAGAACGAACTGTAGACGCCCACTCAGCACCAGTCCGGTACGGGGGAGGGGACATGGAAAGGGGGGCGGTCCTCCACCGGCCGCCGGGAATTCTGGGACAGGGGTGAAGGGCTAAGGGACCGCCCCTTCAGGTACGCCCCTCGTTGGTGGTTCTAGTTCTGTGTATTTTGGGCCCGCCAGGATCAGAGATTGAGTCATTGCGCGTGGGCACACCAGGGGACAGGGGCTGAGTAGAAAGCACACGTCTGCTTGTGTGGAAGGCCTGGAACGAGTCAGGACACAGAGGATAAAGGCAGTGCCAGGCAGCCGGAAGCCATCAGCGAGGCAGGGCCTCCGAACTCCGGCTGCGGCTGGGAACCTGGAGGGCAGAACTGACCACCTGGAGACTTTATCCTGGAGAGGCCAGTGTTAGGAGGATTTATGACAGGCAGCTGACCTTGCAGTGTGACTCAAGTGGAAACACCATAATGTGAGAGAGTGGTCAGGTGAAAAGGACAGAAGTCCACGTTCCATCATAGTAATACCCCAAGTGCCTTCTCATCTCCCCTCGGCTCGCCTTGTCATTTTAATACACGCTCTTCCCTGTGAGGAGGGAAATCAACTAAGGCTCAGGTGAGTAGGAGTTACCTCTCTCCTAAAGTTACCGTTTTTCAGAGCAAATAGATACATCATGAATCCATCGTTTCCTTTGGAAGGGAAGGAAAACCGCATTTATTGTGTGTTAATATGTGTCTATGGGCATTGATGAATTAGCTTACCAATTCTACATTTTAAAGATGTGCCAGTATGATCTGTCCAAGATTATTTAAGAAACAAGTAGCATACCAGCAAATTCTACTGACTTTTCAAGATTGGATTCAAAAATTTGTATCTGCAGGACCCCTAGACTCTTGATACCAACCTGCTGTTTTCTGAACGTCTATCTCATTTTTTTCCCACCTAACAATTTTTAGCTCTGTCTGTGCACTTTTAAAACATATATTCATATATAAAATATTTAATATGGATATTAGTAGATATTTATATATCTTTGAGAAGTCAGAAGTCGGCCAGGCAGTGGTGGTATAGCCTTTAATCCCAGCAGTGACAGACAGATCTTTGAATTTGAAATTGAATTCCAGGACAGCCAGGGCTACACACAGAAACCTGTCTTGCCACCAACCACCCACCCAAAAAAAGTCAGAAGTCCGAAAAGTCTAATAAAATGAGACTTTTGATTAATGATATTGTAGCTTTATAATTATTCTATGGTATGCCTAAAAACACTGGTCCAGGCAGGAGATAAAGTCATTATGTGTCAATAGTTCATTATGTCATCCTTTCTAAACTTTTGCTTTTAGCAGCATAAGAGTGTCTAGGCTGTGGAATTTGAGTCTAAATTTTACATCAGTGTGAATTGTTGTCTTTTCTTCTACATGAATGTGAAGCTCTTGTCTGTCTCAGTGTAATTTTTATATTTTTTAATTGTGCTAGTAGACCTTTTTTTCATCCATAATATTTTAGTGGCAGATCCACAAATAAAATAGTTATATTTTTACAAAATTCTGCTGGGCTTCAGTTATAGCTCAGGGCCACACCACTTAATTAGTGTGTGTGTAATGACCAGCATTCTCCCTAAAGAAGTGACAAAAACTGACTTGGATGAATGGATGATAAACACAAAGACTCCTTTTGTTAAGTGTGCCTGTGTGTTAACTCATTACTAATTAGTTATAAATAAATTGGTTTCTTAAGGCTAAGGATACAGTTCAGAGTAGAGCACTTGCCTAGCGCACATAAGGCCCTGGATTGAGTTCTCAGTACTGAAATGAATGAATGAATCAACCAGTCAGCCAATATAACTCGTTTTGTCTCAGGAATTTGCAAGTCTTTGACAATGTTTGGTATGTTCTATAGGTCCCTGCTTGTTTAATCTAGGGCTGTACCATGGCTGAGACTGAGGAAGAGGAAACAGCATCAGCAGAAGCCTCAGGGTTCTCAGACTTGAGTGACTCAGAGTTAGTTGAGTGTTTGGACTTGGAAGATGCTAAAGTGTCAGCTGTTTCACTTAGCAAGCCTGGCCCTTCTTCTGAACTGCCTGGGAAGGATGACAAAAGCTTGCAGAACTGGAAAAGGAGATTGGATGTCTTGTCACCCATGGAGAGATTCCACTTGAAATATTTATACGTCACTGACCTGTGTTCTCAGAACTGGTGTGAGTTGCAGATGGTGTATGGGAAAGAACTTCCTGGTTCTTTGACACCTGAGAAAGCAGCTGTTTTGGACACTGGTGCAAGCATCCACCTAGCAAAAGAACTTGAACTTCATGACCTTGTGACGGTTCCCATCACCACTAAAGAAGATGCTTGGGCAGTTAAGTTTCTGAACATACTATCAATGATTCCTACCCTCCAGTCAGAAGGGCGCATCAGAGAGTTTCCAGTGTTTGGGGAAGTGGAGGGCGTATTTCTTGTAGGAGTGATTGATGAACTGCACTACACATCCAAGGGGGAACTGGAGCTGGCTGAACTCAAGACACGCAGGCGTCCTGTGCTCCCCGTGTCAGCTCAGAAAAAGAAAGACTATCTTCAAATTAGTCTATACAAATATATCTTTGATGCCATGGTACAAGGGAAAGTGACTCCTGCTAGCCTAATCCACCACACTAAATTGTGTCTAGACAAGCCACTGGGGCCTTCAGTGCTGAGACATGCGAGACAAGGAGGTGTGTCTGTAAAATCTTTGGGTGACCTTATGGAACTGGTTTTCTTGTCTCTTACACTCTCTGATCTCCCAGCTATTGATACCCTAAAACTTGAGTATATACACCAAGAGACTGCCACTATATTGGGCACAGAGATTGTAGCCTTTGAAGAGAAAGAAGTGAAAAGCAAGGTGCAGCATTATGTGGCCTACTGGATGGGCCACCGAGATCCTCAAGGTGTTGATGTGGAGGAGGCATGGAAGTGTCGGACCTGTGACTATGTGGACATCTGCGAGTGGAAGAGGGGCAGTGGAGTGCTCAGCTCTTCGTGGGAGCCCAAAGCCAAGAAGTTGAAATGAATGAAGGTACACTTTGAAAAATGTAAGAGGACCAGTCTCTCAGCTTGGCTCTCATGGACAGTGTTTTTTATTTTTATGTTTACAATCTTGAATAACATTCCAACCCAGGGCCAAGGATCAGGAATGTGTGGAGAGATGTAGTGTTAGAGTGACCTTGGAGCTTTGAGATAAATTGCAAAGAAGACAAATATGCATCATGTCTGCAGCAAAGGCATCCCTCACTAAATCACTGTTGGCTCAAGAAAATTCTTTAGATTCTGATAAATCTTTTTTTCTTGATAAAACTTTTTTTCACATATTTTACAATAAAAATGAAATGCTGTCTAGACCAGTTGACTTGATATTTGTGTGTTTGCTGATTTCAGTCCTTTAAAGATGACCATTTTGCTATACGTAATTGTATGGTATCAAAAGCCTTTACATTCATGTATAAACATTTTAGAACTAGAGCTAATAGAATAAGCAGACCACAAATTCAAAATAAACATAATAAACATTCTCAAAGAAAAGACCTAAAAAGAAGTCATACAAGTATGCCCCATCCAGCAGGGCAGTGAACAGGGTCCAGGGGACGACCTGAAAGAAAGAATGGGGAAACAGGCAAACACAAAGAATGACAGCTTTTCTATAGGCTGATCAAACCATTATTTTTATTTTTTCACACAGGTGTTATATACACATAGAGGCAGGATGTGGGGAAGGGGATGACACAGGAGCTTAGGTATTATCAGGGAGAGTGCAGATATCTTCCAGAACAGGGTTTTGGCTGGGTAAAAGTTCATAGAAGAAGCAGGGAACAAGTCACTATGACTCTGTCTATGATTCATTTGTTCTTATCTAAGCTGGTACCCTCCACCAAGGCTACCTATCCACAAGACCTATGACTATTTGTTTTTATCCAGGCTGGTAGTTTTCCACTAAGGCTACTTGTCTACAAGGTCTGTAGCTATCTGTTCTAGGGTCAGTGTTTTTCCACAGAGACCAAGACTTTGTGTTAGCAGGCATGTATGTCTGACTTAGGCCTATGGCTGACTTTAGGCCTTCAGTGTATAAGCAAGGTTGCTCCTGACACAAGTAAAAATATTAGATGAAAAAATATAGCTGGGCAGTGGTGGCGCACGCCTTTAATCCCAGCACTTGGGAGGCAGAAGCAGGCAGATTTCTGAGTTCGAGGCCAGCCTGGTCTACAGAGTGAGTTCCAGGACAGCCAGGGCTACACAGAGAAACCCTGTCTCGAAAGACCAAAAAAAAAAAAAAAAGGAATAATAGTACTTACACAGTATACAATCTAGCAATGCCATTTCTGGGTATATATCAAGGGAAGCTCATATGTATGCAGTAGGAAATATGAAAAATGTATACTTTCACAAATAGAAAAGCCTAGAAACTGTCCAGATGTCCATCAGGTGAGTGAAATGGTATAACAACCAAAGCATGCACCACATTGAGACCACATTCATGAATCTTAGCAACACATTAGGTGAAAGGCTAAGTCCCCAAAGGTTGTATGCAGCAGGACATCCTTTTCATAAAGTGAAAAAACCCAAACATTCTAAGGAAAACACGGGGAGAGTTAGATTACAAGCCTGTCAGGTAAAGACCCTAGTCCATCTAGAAGGCCTGATCTCGCAGTCAGAAGACTTGAGACCTCATCTCCTACAGCGGACAGGCCACTGCCCGAAGGATGAACACACAGGCTGAGGTGAGGAGAACAAACCCTAGCTACACAAAGACCTAGCTATGCTATCTCTACAATCCCTGACATTAAATTATGGTCTGGCTCTAGATGAATTCAAACTATACAGCCCCTATAGCAAAGACAATTTAGCTTATAACTCTTATCCGATTGGAAAATGGTATAAACAGAAGCTTCATTTCTTCAGTTATTCCTTGGAAATGCACACACACCTTCTTGTCAGCTGCCTCTGGAAATCCTGAGGTGGCCAGGTGTGAATAAAGAACCTGCTTTCACCTGGAATTTGCCGCATCAGTTGTCTATAGAACCAGCTCTTTCTTCTAGGGGCTGTGGACACCATTTGTCTATTTAACAGGGACTCATTTCAGTGTACCAAAAAGAGGAACCGTTACCTTCAATCATCACTAAAGAAAGATGCCAGAGAAATAAATTGGAGGCTATCACTGGGAAATTAAGGACATGACACTAGTGGAGACACTAGTCGAGAATTTGTAAAAGTTGATTGTTGAAGTGGAAACTTCTAGTTTCTTTGGAAAGTTAGATATATCAAATGATCTTTTGCTGGGACACACAGATAAAAAGATGTCTTGCTAAAGCAGACACTTAAAATGACACTTGATGAAAGAGTATAAATATGACCCCACAGACAGTGAGAGAGGAGCACTGAGCATTGGTTTGGTTTGCTTGGCCTCACTGTTCTTCAATAAGGACACGTATGTATTGGTTCTCCTTACATAGTATTGTTGAGCTCAATTGTGATGACATTGCCATTGAGAGAAGCTCATCATGAGGTACCTGTGACAACTTGCTGCTTTGGTGGCCTCACCTCAGGCTGGTTGGTGAGCCTAACAGTTCCTTCAGGATTGAACTACAGCTGCTGGATTGTGCCTAGTGTTGACCTGCTGAAAGGACTGGTCTGTGGCTGCTAGGTCTTGTGTGCTGTCTGCCTACCTAGAGGACTGGTCTGCAGCTGCTGAGTCATATTTGGTGTTTGTTACGAGACTGAACTGCTGCCAAAGAAGATGGAGCTTGCCTCCAAAGAACTATTGCTGAACAGGTCCACTTCCCCCACATCCTAACAACTTTTCTCTTCCACTACCTTTGCTGGGTGGTGGGCTAGAGGAGAGAGGTTGAACCCTTACTGAAATTACCTTGCAAAAAATTTATACCTACAGTGTGGGACTACGTAAGGGTATCCTGGGTCATGGTTGAGCAGGTGCCTAGAACCCCGAGACTCTGCAGACTCTGGGTGGGATTCTGCGTGAGAACCGGCAGGAGTTTGGCACCCCCCCCCCCCCAGATCCCAGGATCCTGAAAAGCAGTCATGGTCTCCATAGAATTACATTGTTCAGTCACATAGGGCAGGCTATAGGCCTCAGGCCCTAGGGATTTACATACTAATGAAGGCCAGAGGGCAGAGCAAATTAAACATACCTCCCCCAGATCCTCCCCCAATCCTCCCCCTTTCTCCCTCCCTATATAACTCAGGACTGCCCTGAGTTTTTTTTTTTGGGGG